TGCTCCAATGAAGCGTTCCTTTCTAGTGCCACAGTTCGTCGCATTACGGCACTTCCATTTCTACATAGAAAGCTCAGAGCTAAGTGGGTCACGTCCTCGTCTCCAACTATTTTTCGATCTTTTTTTTACTCTGAAAGAGAGGTGCAAGTAAACGATAAGGAGGCGGGAATGAGGACTTCTGCTTGAGCCTAAGGGATGAGTGAGCTCCGGAGAGGGTGGACCACGTTCTCTTCGTCAAAAGATATCCTACTAGAAAGCAAAAGTGTTGTTTCTAAAACTTCTATATTGATGGAAATATTTGTCGTGATTTTAAATGCCCTGAGTGCTTTACACCAAAATACCCCTCCATATAGCAATAGCCCCCGGTTTCTGCTTCGGAAACCTTACAGTCCTTTAATCCTGAAGTTTAAGCGCATGAATGTAACCGATGGATTAGTGCCAGGTTACTTTTTCATAAAAGCCAGACTAGTCAATATTTCGCAGCTTTGCACAAACTCGACGCCAGTGCTGAGCTATATTGACGCCCCGTCAGTGCGGCGCGTCTGATAACGATTTTGTGGTCACCGTTGCATTTCCGCTTTTTGTTTGAACACTTTTCTTTTGCAATCAGCTCTCCTATTTTTTTGTCAGTCTGCAGCGAACGCCAAAAAATAAGTGCTGTTTTTCAATCTTTCGTAGGCGACGTCTCATGAATACTGGGGTGGGGAGCGCAATTGCAGAGAAGATTTTAAGAGTGTATAGTTGCATTTCTGACTATTCCTAAAAGTTCTTGTTCACAAAAATTCCTGCTTGACGAATTTTCACCATGCACAACACTCTGGAATGAAGAATCTGTGTATTGTTTTCCTGTTCATACGGTAACATTCAAAGTTGCATTTGTCTCTTAAAGAAATGGATTTACGTTCGCGTAAAGAACCAACGATGGGTGTGAGCCGAAATCTCACCGAAGTTTTCTCGCTGCTCCGTTCAAATGCTCAGCAAAATAAATATATCTATATGAACAGCGCGATGCCTAGCACAAACAGGAGCAAAAACATTGCAGGTGGGTGTTTTTGTTTGCTGTGATTGACTTTTATTTTGAATATGACTAATTTTTTTTGTCTTGTAGAGGAAAAGATGAGTCTTGTAAGTCTTGAAGAAGGCGGAGACCATTGTGATGATTCACCCAGACAGCCGATGTGGATTCACACGTGCGATGAAGTAGAATTCGAGTTTGGACGGTAAGCAACTACACCGGTTTCTTCTCATTGGTTGGGCCGCGTGTTCTTAGCCTGGAGAGCTGGAGAATCGCGGAATCGGTAGGATCAGAAAGTCCGCGAATAAAAGAGTATACGTAGCAATTTGGAGATTCGGGAAAATCGCGAAACTATGGTATACTTATCGGTTTACTTCGCCCACCACTCAAGTGTTCAGCCCTATCTTGCGCATTTTCTGTTTCTCCGGTATCCCGACGTGCGAACGTCTCTTTGCTGCTAATACTGCTATTGGAATTTCATCGCGGAAATTCACTGGAGTGCGTGGTCCTGCTCGCTGCGGAAGAAGGGGCGTGTCAAACGGGATGAGTTTGGCGCCTCGCCAAACCCGTTTTCACCAAGTGTTGAAGCGAGCAATCGAGGAGGCTGTATCATATCGTTCTGTCAGTCGTTTTCCACCTATTGTGTCGCTTGTCCGCTTCAGTAGACGCTTCAGTGGTGGAGAGGGATGGCGCCGTGCCGAACTGACTGGCATGCCATTTCATCCGCAGCCAACAAAACTGTAGTGTTGTGTGTTAACTTGTGGTAATCTTTATCGAACCTTTCAACTTTTCTTGAGTTATTTATGCCTGAAATGACATAGAGGATTTCACTAAGGCCTTGATAGCTGATTGGTTGTACTGTACACGAATTTTTCTATTCTTCTACTTGTTCAGTATTGCTTTGTAGAGTTCGAAATCGGGTCGAAGAACTGGCCAATGCGCAACAGAAGCATATTTCGCGACCGAATTTCGGAGATGAAGCGTTTGAAGCGGAGGAAAGGCGAATGGAAAGCATGACAGAGCAAATCACGTCTATGTTGGCACATTGCCAACGATTGATCAAGTGGGTTTCCTTGCTTATTTTCAATGTATTCATTCAATTTTGTACAATAGCGCTAGGCTGGTACACGTGAAGAACTACCATTTTGATTTTCATCTTCTCCGGCCCTCTTGAATTTTTGGGATCTCTGCAAAGTTTGAATCTATTGTGCACGGTCACATCATGCCCCACCCGTCCTAATAAAGTCGGATGTATGATACATGGAAATATTACTTGTGTAAAAGCTCGCTAGTATGTGCCATCTCCGAGTAGAAAGTTCCGCGGAAAGAACCGTTACATTTCATCTGAATAAGGAGGTAACGACTTCTATTATAGGTTGTCGCGTCGCCCACATTGTCAGCCAAGCTTCGATAGAGTTAGCAAGAGCTGCAGCCAAGATATTCGTAATTCTGCCCCACTAGAGCCGTGGATGGATCTGAACTTGGCCTAAAGTCGTGCCATCCGAAGAAAATTCCCTATAAGTCTGATTTGTTTAAAAAGCGGCATTATAAGTCATTTGAGCGTTGTGGTATACGGCGATATGCTAATTGTCTCTCCTAGGCTTGTTTGAGAACACTAGGGATATTTCTAAAAGTGCCCTAAAATTACAACATATCACCCATTGTGTGGAAAGCGGCTTGCCGTTGGAGCGGGACATCATATTTCAAGTGAACATTTCTCCCGACCCTTCTCTCTGTCCTTTTTTTTTTTTCACCCTCCCCCTTCCTTTTTAGTTGTCGGCGCAGCAGAACTACTTCGTATGGGAGCTTTCTACCCCCAATTCATGGCAAACTTTTAGGAAAGAGCTGTTGAGAATGGAGAGAGGTCGTGAAAAGGGACAGGGTCACACCGAGAGAGGCTTGGGGGAGGCGTATTTATTCGAAATGCTAAAATGGTTATACACCAATTTTTGGTCACTTTTTGTGCATCTTTTGAGTTTCAGCTAGCTGGCTTCATTCAAATTCAGTGGAATTCTGAGACCAACAGTTTCTGTAGTTGTTGTACCTAAAGGGTTGTAGTAAATCGAGAGAAGACCTTCTGCTTGTATTTTCCAGTATTTTTTTCCAGCATGATCTCCACACAAAGTTCCCGGATGGAGAATAACTCTGAGAGAAAGCTGCGTGAGAACACAGTTTCGGCTTTAATCTTCACGTTAAGTCAGTTAACGAATGAATTCCGTACACGCCAGTCAAAGTATTTGAAGGACATAAAGGTTTGTTCTCTAGGCATAATTTTCGCTGCAAAATTCTTTTTTCTGTTTTCATTTGATTTGGGTGGATTTCATGGATATGATTTTTATATTATCGCCGTTCAGTTTTTTTTTCGTTTTAGTCATTTCATGTTGGCTCATATCAATTGTAAAGGCATTAATGTGCTAATTGTTCAGCATACACCATATAACCCATCGCTAGTTATTTGGCATATTTGGCATATGATCCATTGGCGCACAGTTGTAGGAAAACGTAGATTATTTTTTAGTCGTGGGCTAGAGTAATCTGTAGTATACAGTCTTGCTCGCTACAGACACTTGCGTTTTTTTGAGCAGGGGGTGTGGGAACGAGGGATGGGTTTGGCGCGGTTTTTTTTCGCTTCTGCGTTGGCCCCCCTCCCAACAGCAGAGCGTATTTGTTTTTGGGCCGCTCTCTAGCTCTCAAGGCAGTACCAGGTGAAGCTTAGGAAGATGGGCCAGGTGTGAGGCAAACGGCAGTAATACTCAGTAGTTCATGTGTTTGCACTGGGCTTCTGTGGTCCAAACCAGGCTTCATCGTGCGGTAGCACGGCCCGTTTAGTTGCGATTTTCTGCGATACTGATGAAACTTATGAAATCACATAGTAATATAGAGAATGTGGTTAAAATGGCCGACGTTCCAGAATCGAACGAGCAATGTCGACAACTTCCTGGTCACCACGGGGCAGTCCGATGATTTGCAGTGGGGTGAACTTGTTGACGTAACGCCGTCGCGAGAGTATACCATGGATCAAATTCAGCAGATGATGATGAATGAACAAGCTGTAAAAGAGCGAGAAAAGGAGGTGAGCAAGCAAGCTTGATTTCAAGTAGTCAATAGTTTCGATTGTTAATGTTTGTGACATAGGTTAATAGTTCAACATGTCGTATCTTTTTATTTCTATTTCGTCGAATTAATATCACGGATGAGGCGGAGGTGGTGTAGTGGCAAGTGGGCAGATCG